CATGATGTTTAATATATTATGATAACATTAAATTAAGATGATTTATAGTTAGAATACTTATAGAAATATTTATCTTTTATAATTTCTTTCTTTATATTATAAAAAATATTAATAATTGAATGATGATGTCTTTTTTTATAAGATTAAAAAAATGATTATGATTATTTTTCTATTTATTAGGTCTTAAATAATAAATAACATTTACCTTAAATAATTATACAAAAAGAAAATGTATTTTTTTTAACATGTTCAATAAAAAAAAGAATCAAATCTTTATTTTTTTTTACATTATATATTTAAATAAGAAATTTTTAAAATACAAATTTTAAAAAAAAATATAAAAAATAAAAAAATAATAAAAAACAATGAAATAATTAAAAAAAAAAGATTGGGATACTAAATTGATAAAAAAATTATTCATTTCTAGTTATTCTATTAGAATTGATACTAACTATTAAGAAATAAAATATTTAGATCAACATAAATAGATTCAGAAAAAAAGAAAGGATAATCACAAAAGAAGAAAATTGGTTCAGTTTGTATGAAATTAGTATTAATATTACTACTTAGCTAAAAAACACATTTTTTTGATATACTTTTATAATACCTTTGTAATATTTTTGTAATATTAACATTATTTTGTAAAGCTTGAATTTGTTTTTATATATATTGTAATCATTTATGAGTACTATAACACAATGAATATTAAGAATATTGCAAATTATATATTTAAAATAATTTAAATAATAAATCGTAATAATGTTGCAATAGTTACATTATTAATAATAAAATCGAATTAAAATAATAAATTGAAATAATATTTGCAATGGTTACATTTTTGAATTGTTACATTTTTATGATTACTAAAGCATATCACAGCAAAACTAACTATACTGTGAAATTGAATTTATAAGGTTATATAACTACAAATATCTATATTTTGTGTTAATATCATTTCACTCTTAGAAACAATATGTATATTAACTGTAATATGATTAAGAGCATGCAAATTAATCAGCATTGCATTTTGCCATTCTGCTCGTTAAACCTTTGTAGTATTATTATAAATTGCATAGTTAATATTTTTACATACAAAAAAACAGATCATGTTTAATATGACTTTAACAATATATTCTTTAGGAAATTCCAAGATGATTTGTTTTTGAGTAAATGATCCCTTTTAACTTACTTTAATTGTGACTCAAAAATATTGTTGATATCATCTGTACTCACAAAATTTTGAAGGTGAAACAAATTTAAAAGATTGCCTAATAATATATTATATAATTATATAATCACAGTTAATAATATGTATTCAAAAAAAATTGAAAATATATAATAAAGTAATATTTACCTATAACTATCTAAAAAATCAAGTACAATTTGAGTATATCTATCATACAATTATACTCTCTATATTGAAAACCATCCGCAATCTTTCTTTTTCATATCACTAGTATTAATATCAGCAATTCTGAAATAATTTATACATTCCCTAACTAGTGTTAAGATTAGTTTTAGTATTGGCTTACGAAAATAAAGAAAAAGAATCTTTGATTTATTAATGAATAAGGATGCAAGTTGAGTCTTAAAAAATATATAATTGGAGAAATATTTTATTAATTATAATATTATTTTTATTTTCAGCAAGTAAAGTACTTTAATATTTAAAACACTTACATTATTCAGAGATGTGTTATTATGGATTTGATTAGTGAGTGCATTATTATTTATCATAGTTAAAGTAGTTGTATTTTCAGAAGCCATAATAGATTACAGATGTATATATGATGTATATCTCATATTTAGTAAAAGTATGCCTGATTTCATCGCTTGAACAAATGCAGTAAATATTGGTACTAAATTATTAAAATTGATGCAATTAATAGATGTTGTAGATGTCATATTTTGTTCATCCATAAAAGAGATCGATTGTAGTTCAGTGTGTACTATAGATGCTGTATTTTGTTCATCTGTAAAAGAAATTAATTGTAATATAGTATATGCTATAAATGCCATATTTTATTTATCTATAGAAAAGAGTAATTGTATTGTAATATTATTAATGTTATCAATTAATTCTAATTCATAAACATTAGTAAATAATAGCTTTACTTAAGATATAGAAGTTTTATGTAAAAGTAATTTCTGATCATGTTCTTTAGTGGATTCTATAAAGTTCTATCATATCAATTTATATTATCATTTGCAAAACTTATATAAACTAATAATATTATACTTTTTCCATCATTCAGCTTTACATATTTATTTAGCAAGATCAAAGAATCAAAAGAACCTGTATTTAAAATATCATTATTAAGATTATTAAGTTCACATAGATTCTTTTTTGTTGTAAATTCTTGCTATTCATTAATTCTCTTATTGTATAGGTTGTTAAATCATTCTTACCATTATAATATACCTATTCTTTTTTCTAAACTTATGATTTTTGGCTTAAACACTTCTTTTGAATCGATATCTTTGATAGTTATATTCTTTAAATCAACATCTTCAATAATCATGCTAAATTTCAAAACTATTGTAGACTTAGTTAAAGAATTTTCACCAGTTTTAGAATCAAGTTTAGATTTAGTAGCTCTCATTTTAGGATGTTTTGGGATGGATTTTTTTTATAAGGCATATTAGAAGAAAAAAAAATAAGAAAAAAAATAAAATTGAAAAAAAAAATAAGTTTGCTAAACTTCTTTCTCAAATTTTTAAATTTTCTTCTTAATATAAATCTAACTCAGATCAGAGCTGATTGTAAACAATATCAAGAATCTAATTTTTTTCTGTGTAAACTTAAACACACTTATATAAAAAGTTCTACAAACCTAAATTCAATAGTATTATTTTAGGTGATATAACCTTTTCTTTTATAAATACCAAAGTTGATACTATAGACTATATATTTGAAGAAAGAGGACTTTATTATCACAGATACACTTAAATGATGATTTCTCTCCAAATAACTTTTTTTCAAATGAATATGATGACTTCTTTCCAAACAACTTTTCTTCAAATGACGATTTCTCTCCAAATAACTTTTATTCAAATAATTACCAATTCTTCATAAACAATAAACCATATAATGATAGTTCTATTGATAATTAAGATACTGATAAAGAGTCTATTGAAAAAGAGTATGATGACAATAAGAAATATAATTATTACACTGGAAATACCAGACCATATTTTCCAAATCTTATTATATTTCTAATATTTTTATAGATTACAAATTATTAAATAGGCTTCAAAGTATATAAAGACTTTGCAAATATCGTCAAATATTCTGAGTTCAATTCAGATGATGTTCTATATTCGCTTGCAACTATTAAAAAGTATTATAATAGCTTACTACTTCTTCTATTTAAAGGTTATAAAGTCACCTTCAATAATTGCAATATATCTTTTACTTTTAAACTTACCTGTAATGCTTAAATTTTTCTTTAAAGGATATTCTTCATCATGTATTAGCAAATCCATTATTATATGAGAATATGTATTTTGATTCAGGTATATACTATGAGAATAAACATAAATTATGACATGAGATCTCTAGCATAAATTCTTATTATTCAGTAGTATATGTATAAAACTAAATAAAGATAAATATAATATTGTTTTTTTAATTTACAATCTATATATTATTATACTAATTTATTCATTAATCATATTATTAATATGAAAATAGTAATATATAGTCTTGGTAATTTTATCACATATTACAACATAAGCTAATGAACATGTTATAGACAAATTATATTGATCTTATGCGTTGATAAATCTCAAGATAGATGTATCAAGATTAAACATATTCTTGAATTTAATTCATTGCCTCCTATGCTCAAATCCTCATAAAGAAGAATTGCTTCTCATAAAGGATATCTGTGGATAACTATTGAAATGCTTATCATAAATCCTGTAAAGATTAAGTCCAAAGTTAATATTTGGTTAATTGATGTTAACAAGCTTAATAACTATCAATACATTATATCTGAAATTGTATATTATATAAATATACAGTAGACTATAAAGTTAATTGATTTATGATACCTTCATTTCATTGAATATATCACGATTTAAGATCATTCGTATAATTTGCCGATATTCAAATTTTTTCTTGATATTTATATTGACAAATTTAGTCTGTTTTATATTACAAATCATGCTATTAGTGACTTCTACTTACAAATCAGTAATATGAAACAAACGCTTTATTAAAAGCTTAAAAATTACTTTTCTCTTAGTTTTATCTCATTCACAGCAATAAGTAATGAAGTACCCTTATTAATAATATTTAGGATCTCGAATGTGAATATGAATTAAAATCAGTAATTAAATTGTATAGATTACTGGTATATTAAGTATCATTACTAGTAATTTATCAGAAGATAATAAATAGACGGGAGTAAAGAATCATAATGTATATCATAGATGCTGTAACTGTATGATTTATCATAGCAAATTGGATAATATTAGTTATGAGACTGTGAAATATAGTCATTACTATCACAAAACTACATTGCAATTTTCTATTATAAGGAGTATTTAGACTCAAACACAACATGATGCATTTATTATGCAATATAATATATGAGAAAAACTCTCTGTTTTTGATAACATTATGTGTGATTGTCATCTTCAATATCTACACAATGCTTTTTATTACTTAGGTAGTCTTATCAAAGAAATACTTTAATCAACATTTGAAATTTTATCTTTAAAAGGAGAGATTGAATTTTTGAAAGTTTAGCACAACTTTGAATTTCCTTTATATTGGTCTTGATAACAAAATCCAATTACCCATTTAGATTCATACTTTTTTTCTGATTATCTTTGTCTAAATATGATATACAATTTCTCATTAATTAGGCATTATATATCACGATGCTAAATAAAACATTTGTCAAATATGTGATTAAGACATGTATAATAATGAAAAGTTAGGTTCTAGATAAATTGTTAGGTTTATGGTTTATTTCTTTCAAATGGTGTCTCTGACATTTTATAAAGAATTTTCTGATGTTTATTATAACAATCTTTAATAAAGTATAATACTATAGTCTAGACTAGTTGCAAAAGTAATCAAAAATTTAATATTAATAGTTTGGTTAATATATTTTAAATAATTTAACCTTTTTTTCAGATTTTTCCCAATATTAGTTGATTACCGAATTTTTATATATTACACTATTTTATTATATATGCATAAAATTTTATGACTTTAGTGAATATTTTAGTTCTATAAAGGAAATAATGCATAGACTTTTCAAGGTTATTATCTCTCATTTAAATAAAAAAAATATAGAATTAGATTTTATGTGTTATGATAATTGTTTGCAAGTATTACGATTTTTAATGGATGGTAATATTGACGAAAGATATGATAAGATAATATACTTTAATTTTAGCATATTGTTAAAGGATCAATGTGTATGTATATTGCTTGATTCATGGGATATTTTATCATCAATAATAGATTCAGAGCAGGAAGAGATATATAATATAACCTGCATAGATGAAATTTTTATCAATATAAGAGTCTGAGGAGCATATAACAAGAATGACCTACAAACTGCTAGCTTTGAGAAAGTTCTTAATGATGATTTATTTGTTGAACTTAGATATATATATAAAGAAGAACTTGGTTGTATTGAACATTTTACATCACAAACCATAAAATATTTCAATAGTATTAGCTATATTATAGTTAATAATGATGATCGAGTAGATGTGAACCTTTGTGTTAGTGATACTGTGGATGTTTTAGAAGATATATCAAATGATACATTGAATAATCCAAAGACAGTAATTTCATATGCACAA